AGGCATTATTGGCCGAACTCCGTTATCAATTTGGTGTGTCTAAATTTTTCTTTTTTTTTTTATTTCACTTTTATAGATCCAACTTCATGGAAAATTCAACGTATTTTTCCCAACAACTGGTATCAGAGCCAGATTGTTAATTCTGTATTTTTTGTGCGGTGTTACTACTCCGTTGAAAAACGTGAATAGTGCCAATTTTGTCGGCGTTACAAAATTATCTATCGACGTGTTCTAAAACACGGTAGTTCACAAAAATTACGGAAACGATCCGGCAGAGAAGCCAAATCAGAGTCGAAGTGATGGCTGCGGACGAAGGAAAAATGAAAATTGAAAAGTTCGGTGGTACGTACTTTGACTTTTGGAAGATGCAGATTGAGGATTATCTGTACCAAAAGAATATGTACCAATCACTCACAGGAAAGAAGCCAGAGGACATGAAGGAGGAAGAATGGAGTCTCCTAGACAGACAAGCCCTTGGAGCCATTCGACTGACGTTGTCCCGTAATGTTGCTTTTAACATTACAAAAGAAAAGACGACAGCAAGCCTCATGAAGGCTCTTTCCAACATGTACGAGAAACCATCAGCCTCAAACAAAGTTCATTTGATGAGGCGATTGTTCAACCTGCGGATGACCGAAGGTGCTCAGGTGGCACATCATCTCAATGAGCTCAACACTGTTACAACCCAGTTGAGTTCAGTTGAGATCGAGTTCGATGATTAAGTACGGGCTTTAATACTTTTGTCTTCCCTCCCAGAAAGTTGGAATGCTACGGTCACGGCTGTGAGTAGCTCATCGGGAAGCAATAAGCTGAGATTTGATGATGTCCAAAATTTGGTTCTCAGTGAAGAGATCCGGCAGAGAGAGTCGGGTGAACCATCGACCTCTTCTGTATTGCATACAGAGTCAAGAAGAAGAAGTTCGACCAAAGAAAGCAGACACAACAAATGAAAGGGAAGAAGATCCAAGTTCAGAAATCATCGTAGTGCCCAAAATTCGAAGTCGATCGAGTGCTGGAATTGTGGAAAGACCGGGCACTACAGAAACCAGTGCAAGAGTGCACCGAAGAGTAAAGAGGCAAAAGAAGAGGCAAATATTGCTTCAGCCTCTAGAGGAGATATGCTGATATGTTCTTTGGAGAACAGAGAAGAGTCTTGGGTGTTAGACTCTGGAGCATCCTTTCATGCTACCTCACAAAAGGAACTATTTGAGAATTATGTTCCTAGAAATCTTGGTAAAGTTTACCTTGGTAATGAGCAATCATGTGAGGTTGTAGGGAAAGGTGCAATAAAAATCAAGCTGAGCGGGTCTGTATGAGAATTGAAAAATGTCAGACATTTTCCCGACCTGACGAAGAATTTAATCTCCGTCGGCCAGCTAGCCAGTGAAGGCTACACGACAATCTTCCATGGTGATGATTGGAAGATTTCAAAAGGTGCGATAACAATTGCTCGAGGCAAAAAGAGTGGTACTCTTTACAAGACAACAAGAGCATGTCATCTGATTGCAGTTGCAGCAAATGAAAATCCCAATCTATGGCACCAAAGACATGGGCATATGAGTGAAAAAGGGATGAAGATCATGCACTCAAAACGAAAATTACCAGGCCTCCAGTTAATAGAAATTGACATGTGTGAAGGTTGTATACTTGGAAAGCAGAAAAGAGTCAGCTTTCAGACAAATAGAAGAACTCCAAAGAAGGAGAAGCTTGAGCTCATCCACTCTGATGTTTGGGGTCCAACGACTGTCCCATCCGTTGGTGGGAAGCAATACTTCGTGACTTTTATTGATGATCACTCGAGAAAAGTATGGGTTTACATTCTGAAACATAAGTCAGAAGTATTTGAAGCTTTCAAGATTTAGAAAGCTATGGTGGAAAATGATACAGGCTTAAAGATCAAGAAGCTCAGATCCGACAATGGTGGTGAATACGTAACCACTAGATTCAAGAAGTTTTGCTATGAGCACGAGATCAGAATGGAGAGAACCATGTCTGGTACACCTCAACACAATGGTGTAGCTGAACGTATGAATCCAACATTGACTGAAAGAGCCAGAAGCTTGCGTGTGCAGTTAGGCCTATCAAAGCAGTTCTGGGCAGAAGCAGTCAACACAGCAACTTACTTGATCAACCGAAGTCCATCGGTACCATTGGACCACAAGTTACCAGAAGAGGTATGAAGCGGAAAAGAAGTAAACTCTCACATCTTAGAGTTTTCGGGTGTGTAGCATATGTGCGCATCAGTGATCAATGTAGAAATAAACTTGATCCAAAATCAAAGAAATGTACTTTTCTTGGTTATGGTAAAGATGAGTTTGGTTACCGTATATGGGATGATGAAAACAAAAAGATGATCCGAAGCAGAGATGTCATCTTTAATGAAAAATTGATGTACAAGGACCAGCATAACACAAGTGCCAGCAACTCAGAAGCTAGTGGGCCAGTTTATGCAGAGGTGAAAGATATCCCAGACATTCCTATAATAAGGAATCCTCGGTCAGAGGAATCAAATGAAGAAAGTGATGTGCAATCAGAACCTCTTACTCCAGCTCCTGTATTGAGAAGGTCTTCTCGGCCCCATGTGCCTAACAGAAGATACATGGACTACATGCTGCTGACTGATGGAGGGGAGCCTGAAAATTACATGGAAGCTTGTTAAACCACAGATGCTAGCAAGTGGGAGTTTTCCATGAAGGACGAGATGAAGTCTTTGATCTCAAATCAGACATGGGAACTAGTCAAGTTACCTATGGGAAAGAAAGCACTTCACAACAAATGGGTGTATCGAGTGAAGGAAGACCATGATGGTTCCAGGAGATACAAAGCCCGACTGGTTGTCAAAGGATTTCAGCAGAAAGAAGGGGTTGACTATACTGAAATCTTTGCTCCAGTTGTAAAGCTCAATACTATCAGGACTGTTTTAAGTATTGTGGCTAGTGAAGAGCTTTATCTAGAGCAATTAGACGTGAAGACTGCATTTCTTCACGGAGACCTAGATGAGGAGATCTATATGCACCAGCCTGAAGGTTTTTCAGAAGGAAAGAAGGATATGGTGTGGAAATTGAAGAAGAGCTTGTACGACCTGAAACAAGCTCCAAGACAGTGGTATAAGAAGTTTGAAAGCTTCATGCACAAGGAAGGATTCCAGAAGTGCAATGCTGATCACTGTTGTTTCTTCAAGAAATATGAGTCCAGCTATATCATATTACTACTTTATGTCGATGACATGTTAGTAGCAGGATCAGATATGAAAGACATCAGAAAATTAAAGATGCAGTTGTCAAAAGAATTTGACATGAATGACTTAGGCCCGGCAAAGAAGATTCTTGGAATGCAAATCACGAGAGATAAGCAAAATGGGGTTTTGCAGTTATCTCAGGCAGAGTACATCAACCGTGTTTTGCAGAGATTTAACATGGACAAGGCCAAACCAGTCAGTACACCTTTGGCCAGCCATTTTCGTCTATCCAAGGATCAGTCTCCTCAAACAAAAGAAGAAGAAGAGTTCATGGCTAAGATTCCTTATGCTTCAGCCATTGGAAGTTTGATGTACGCGATGGTTTGTACGAGGCCAGACATTAGCCATGCAGTGGGAGTTGTTAGCAGGTTTATGTCAAAACCAAGAAAAGCTCATTGGGAAGCAGTCAAATGGATTTTGAGATATCTTCGAGGCACAACAGAAAAATGTCTGTACTTTCTATCCACTACAGAGGTTGAGTATGTAGCGGTGAAAGAAGCCAGTAAAGAATTGATATGGCTTCAAGGATTGTTAGCAGAGTTGGGTTTCACTCAAAAAGAGAGTGTCTTGCATAGTGACAGTCAGAGTGCAATACATCTGGCAAAGAACTCAGTGTTTCACTCTAGAACTACGCACACATAATATCATTCCATCTAATCTCTTCTTGAGGATGAAGTGTTGACTTTGAAGAAGATTGTAGGAAGAAAGAACCCGACAGATATGCTAACAAAGGTGGTGACCATTGACAAACTGAAGTTGTGCTCAACTTCAGTTGGCCTGCTAGGATAACAGACCTAAAAAGACTACTGCAGTAATTGAGGTGTGAGGACAGATTGAAATCAGTCCTCAAGTGGGAGATTGTTGAGTCAAAAAGGGGTGGCCATCCTCCTTTCTTTGACAGCTAGAAGATATAAAAATTGCAACAGCCCTCGTGCTGAATTTTGTTGAAAATTTGAGCACACAAGTTTGAAAAGAAGGTGCACTCTACCTCTATAAATAGAGGAGCAAATTTTGATGAACACCACAACAAGAACAACACAAAATTTAAGAAAGAAAAAGGAGAGTGAGCTAGAAAATAATCTAGCCTTTGTGTGTGTTTTTGAGTTGTGAGTCGTGAGTGTTTTGTAAACACGGGTGTATTTTTCTTTCACCTAATAAAATATCTGCAGTAGTCCGGAGACATAGGCATTATTGGCCGAACTCCATTATCAATTTGGTGTGTCCAAATTTTTCTTTTTTTATTTCACTTTTATAGATCCGACTTCATGGAAAATTCAGCGTATTTTTCCCAACAAGCTGGAGTTTGCCAAGGAAAAACACAAAAAACACTACAACTTTGAGGGTTATATTTTCTAAAACTTCATTATATATAAAACAGTCATTGTTTTGTTTGATTTTAGTACTCAAACTAAAGAAAAAGACATTTCATAGCAAAGTAGTGGAATAACTGTTTTTTTCTTTCTTCCTTTCTGGAATCCTCTACTTAGTATCACCTAGCTATAAGTATTTTCCATGCCTCTTGCTATTCAGCCCTAATCTGGAACACTTTTGCATTTAGAGCATTAAAAGAACCATGATCTAATCTACACTACGGCTCCTTTTACATCCATTTACGACACCTTCATGCTAGACAATGGAGCTGGAGATCTGAATATGCTTAAATTAGTATTTTTATGCCGAAAGTCACGAGTATTTTCCATATAAAGGAAAAAGAATCTTCACCTGCATGCATGATTAGGGGATGTTCTTGATTCTTGAACTTTCAAGAATCTTGAATATTGATGACACTTTCAAAAGCGCCAACCAAAGCTTTCACCTTACTCATCTTTCTCTTGACCAATTTACTCGCCGTCTCTTCAATCATGATGTTTGTCAAAACCAAATTCGCGTCTTTTGGTTCCATGGCCCGATGCCTAAGAACAATTTTTTTGTCATTTTTCTCATTAACAAACTTATCTTCGGACGTTAGCTTCCTAAGGCTTCTGTTAGTAGAAACGCTTTTCCCGTTTTCGATCTCAACAACTTTTCCTTTCCTAAATTTCATCCTTTTGGGTGCCATATCCTTTTCTTCAACTTTGGGAATGGTAACTCTTGAACCCCTTGTAGCCATTTTTTGGTTTTCTTCTATGAGTGTAAATGTCAGGTTCTGATTTGTGGTCAAATTAGTAAATGTTATGTAATTGTTGCTTTCTTGGGCACTGTCCTTATAATGGTCTTCATCTTCTGGCTTGAATTCGATCACATGTATGATCTTCTCCGGAACATCTTCAACTCTGGTTTTCTCTCTCTCGGTTTTTTCAGCACCGTTTTTGGTTGTTTTCTTCCGGAAGCTCTTGTTATTTATGATATTTGTTGGTGAAACCGAACCACTTGCATGTGAGAAACTACTTTTCTTGTCATTTCGTGCGTTGCTTGCACTTTTTAGAAACGGTTTTTTCGGTTGTTTACCAAATGCATCTATTTTTCGAGGTTCCGGTTTTACCAAAACAGTTGGTTGTTGTTTTCTTGGAGATGTTGAAATCCTCTTTCCTCTTTGATCTTCAGATGATATCTTTAATGGCAAGAAATTTTCATTTTTGTCCAGCTTTCGACCCACCGGGCGCCATGGCTTGACCGGCAAAGCGCGTTTTATTCCATACTTGCAAAAATCGTGACACGAGCCCGTTAAGGCTTCGAGGTAGGTTTGAGGAGTTGAATTTGGTTCGTAGGTTTTGATGCTCGCTTTACCCGTTAATGATCTTCTTTGAGGTTTGGTTTGGATAGTTGAGTTGCCCGTTGATTTTCTTCGTAGGTAATCGGCTCTCGGATTTATTTTTTCCAGGTTCATTGGGGTATCAATGGACTGTATAGGCATTGTGGAAGGACAAGAAAGACTTGCAAAAACCTGCAGACAAATTGTTGATTTTGCAAGTTTAAATATAGATTATTGTCTATATTATCTAAACTATGTGTCCTGTTTTGAGGTTAACAAGCCCATAAATATCTATGAAGTTAATGAAATAATTTCTGCAAATATTAATGAAGAATTTTTAGTGAAATTGCATGAATCATGTTTTTATTGTAGAGAAAACAGATCCTTTACATACCTCTTAAAGGAATTTGTTGAAAAAGTTGTAATAAATGGAAGCCAAAGGCATGAAGTGAAGACAGTAAATTGCTAATATTTGTGTTCTTTGAGAGGGTTTTATGTGAATATTTGTTAGGCCCATAATAGCTACAATATATAACTGTTAAAAGAGAAGCAAAAAAGTTAATACAAGTACAAAGACAAAGGGAGTTGGAGAAAAATAAGGAGAGCCAATAGAACAAGAAAATAAAAAACAATATATATTGGCAGTATCTTTGACAGTTAAAAATTTATATTGCTTATACATCCTTAATTTTTCTTTTACTATTTCAATAAAATAAAAAAATCTTAAGAAATCCTAAAAAATGTATCAACAACAATAACATATTGTCCCGACCCAAGCTTTATTCTCAAGGAAACTTGGCAAATATAAAAATATATAATATGCTTAAATTATTATCTTAATTCTCTTTTTATATTTCTTTTTTCTCCATCTTTCTTTTAAGAAAAAGAAACACTTTGTCTATCTAACTATCCAAAAATTTACACTTTTCCTACAAAACCTTTTTTTTTTTACACTTTGCCTACCTAACTTTTTTTGTACACTTTGTCATTTTCGATCACCGACGGCCACAATGTGGCAATAAGGCATAAAAGCCACGTGTTAGATTATGAGGGCGGCAGTGACCAAAAATGGCAAATTATACAAAAGAAACAAAGTTAGGTAGAAAAAGTGTAAAGAAAATAGTTTTGTAGACAAAGTGTAATAGTTTAGTTGACCGATTTTCGATCCGTCAGCCATTTTAGTCCAGCTTTCAAAGCAACAATAGTGTAATAATTTGGTTTTTTGAAGTTCTTATTAACCTCTAATTTTTTTATTAACCTCTATAATTATAATAAAAATAAATATTATTTTTATCAAAATAGTTTGCTTTCATTAAAATAATAATTCAAGATGTAAACTGGGTTCCAACTTTGACAAAGCTAATGCTAGACCTTATTGAAATTGCTAGAGGACACCAGAGTTGGGTGAAAGAGTTAATGAATCCTGATGGTGCTGGATAGAATGAGTGGCTCATTAAGGAATTTTTCAATGGGAGAGACAATGCAACCATACTTCAAATCAGTACTCTGAATCCACAGATGGAAGACAAAAGGAGAAGGGCTATGGATAAGAAAGGTTCTTTTTCAGTCTCAGCCTCTTATGCTCATTTGATTAATTTTAAAATGCAGGCTCTAGATATTCCAGATGGAAGCTGTAGGAATAATGAGCAGGAGCAGAAAGCTAGAATCATTATGTGGAAAACGAGAGTTAAAGGGAAACTTAAACATTTCCTATGGAAATGTTGTTCTGGTACTCTTTCAGTGAAGGTGAATCTTAAGAAAAGAGGAATGGACATAGACTTCATTTGCCAATCGTGTGGAGAAGAAGCTGAAACAGTGGAGCATGTTTTTTTCCTTTGCCCTAGAGCCAGAACATTGTGGAAAGTTGGACCGATTAACTGGAATGGTATCAATGTAGAGATGTACTCATTCAAAGAATAGTGGTCTCAAATTTGCTCTATTGACAATTCTGCAGTGTCTGAAGAAAGAATATAGTTAACCACATAACTTTTGTGGTGGCTGTGGAAGATTCGCAGTTTGTGGCTATTTAAACAAGAGTGGGTATCAGAACACTTAGCCATAAAAATGGCAGACAGAGAATGGGAGGAATGTAGAGGAGTTGCTGGTTGATCTTTGTGTTTTCTATTTATAGTTGTATGTTTGCAGGTTTATGTTTTTATGGGAGCCGGGTGTTGTTTTTGGGGTGTTGTTGTGATTTTGTGTTTTGGTAGTTGCTTCGTTTGGATGGGTTGTTGCTGAGGGTGTTAGGCTAGGTCCTTTAGATAGTGGCCGTCGTTGTTCTTTTATGTATTATGGAGTTAGAGGACTAAGGATTTTGATGTGTCTTGCCTTAGACTTGTAGTTGTGAGTAGTCTAAACCGCCTTGGGCTTGTTCTCTCAGTTTAATTTTAGTGGGTGAATAGGGTAGTGCCCAGTTTGTATTCGAACTTTGTTCGTGTGTTATGTTATAATACTCCTATCGTTTCGAATATATATATATATATATATATATATATATATATATATATATATATTTGAGACCAAATTTACGACACAATCAATCCTATGAGCACTAAATTTAAAATTCATTTATTTCAAATTAAGGACTCAAGTCTCATCTCATTAATTTTGATGGGCTATGACCGGCAAAATTTCATTTTTGGTCCATTATATTGGCCATTTTCCAGGAATGGTCCACCTTTTTGGCGGACATCAAACTTGATACAATAAGTTGTAAAATTAATCATATTTGGTCTATTTACTCGGGCTGGATATACTGCTTACGTGGCGTGATTTCTATTTTTCACGTTATTACTTAAAATAACTAAATTCCATGTAGCGCTGACTGGGAGATTGCGTGGACAAGTAAATAACCTATTAATACAGAATATCGAATGCTTAAATCAGAAAATTGAAATCGAAATCGTCTTCCCCATTTTTAAACCCTAGACACGATAAATTCAATCTCTCTGCGCGAGCGTAGAACAATGAAAAATTTTGTTCGAAACCTGAGTACTATCGTAAAAATAGCTCAAGTTTGTCTGTTCCAAAATGTGAAATCAAGTTAAGGCGGATTAGAGATCATCATTTACCCACTCTTATATATGGTATGTAATTTTGTTTGATTTATTCGGTAAATTGACGTGCTATTTGTAATAAGTAGGTTCTTAATCGGATTTATCCGATTAATTTTTTGGTGAGAAAGACTGATGTTGGAGTGTTGTGTTATGTGGTCCTGCTTTGATGTGTGTGTATTTGTAGTATGTGCATTCAGGGAACATGTAGGACCATGTGTGATAGATAAATCTTGGAACAACTTTTTTTTTTATTATTTTTTTGTTTCATTTCTTTACCATATTTAATAGTGGAAAATGGTGACACATGAATTTTATTTATTGTTTGTCTACCTTTTCAGGATCTGAAAGTAAATATTTGACCGTGAGTCTTCATTATGGGGGACATTTGATATTGATTCTGAAAGTTCAACATACCTAGGTGGGAAGACCATAAATTTTGACTATATGGACTGTACAAATGTGACTTTGGATGATTTCAAGTCCATTGCAGAAAGAGAAGGTATTTCTAAACCTATGAGGTTTTACACAGATCTGGGGGGTTTGCAATTTATGTTGTTTACTACAGAGTTTCAACAATTTTGTGAAAAACAACTAAAAACTATGAGAGAGGTTGGGTTATTTGTTGACGAAGTCGAAACAATTGCAGAAGGGTGCAATGAGGGGGTTGGAGAGGCTAGTACTCAAGTTTCGAACAAATGTTTTCGATAGTACTTAGGTTTCGAACAAATTTTTTTATTGTTCTACTCTTGCGCAGAGAGATTGAATTTATCGTGTCTAGGGTTTAAAAATGGGGAAGACGATTTCAATTTCAATTTTCTGATTCAAGGCATTCGATTTTCTGTATTAATAGGCTTATTTACTTGTCCATGCAATCGCCCAGTCAGCGTCACATGGAATTTAGTTATTTTAGGTAATGATGTGGAAAATGAGAATCACGCCACGTAAGCAGTTTATCCAGCCGAGTGATTAATGGACCAAATATGATTAATTTTACAACTTATTATATCAAGTTTGATATCCGCAAAAAAGGTGGACTATTTCTGAAAAATGGTCAATATGATGGACCAAAAATAAAATTTTGCTGGCTAGGACCAAATATGCAACGCTAATAAAAAAAGGACCAATTATAAATTATAAGATCAATTTTGCAATACATTCAAGCTACGGGACCATATTTGCAATTCCTCTCGACTTTATATATTGTTAGATAGAAACGTGGATAAACCACGGCCGCTTTTTATATATTCGGACCTTTTGCAGTCTCAGTTACATTGTTCTCGCGTTTATCATTTTACACCGACTTTCAGAACTCGAGGTATAACAGCTGCTGCACACGGTACAAGCCAACGAACTTGGACTCGACGACGATGGCCTCGAAGCTTCTAGGCAACGTTATTCGCCGAGCCCTACTCAAGCCCGCCGCCGCCCTCAACCTTCACCCACTTTCCACCGCCGCAGCCGTCGCCGCGGTCGAGCCTCTTGAGGAGGATTCCGGCGGGATATCGATGAAAGGGGTCAAAATCTCCGGCAGACCCCTCTACCTCGATATGCAGGCAACGTCGCCGGTAGATCCGCGGGTCCTCGACGCTATGCTTCCTTTCTATGTCTCCCAATTTGGAAACCCTCACTCGCGCACCCATCTCTACGGCTGGGAATCGGAGCAGGCCGTCGAATCGGCCCGCGCCAAAGTCTCCGCCCTAATCAACGCCTCGCCGAAGGAAATCATCTTCACCTCCGGCGCCACCGAGTCCAACAACATCTCCGTCAAGGGCGTCATGCATTTCTACAGGGACAAGAAGCGCCACGTCATCACCACCCAAACCGAGCACAAGTGCGTCCTCGATTCCTGCCGCCATCTCCAGCAGGAGGGCTTCGAAATCACCTATCTCCCTGTTAAGCCCGACGGGCTTGTAGACTTGGAGAAGCTTCGGGCTTCAATCCGTCCCGAGACAGGGCTGGTCTCTGTCATGATGGTGAACAACGAAATTGGGGTGATACAGCCGATGGTGGAAATCGGGAAAATATGTAAGGAATTCAACGTCCCTCTGCACACGGATGCTGCTCAGGCTTTAGGTAAGATACCGATCGATGTGAATGAAATGAACA